GGGGTTGCCGTGCTGCGGGGGCCCCATCCTGCCCGTGTGCGGTCGCTGTGCAGGCAATGGCCGCAGAACAAGGCCCGGGGAGGGAAGTTGAAGACGTAACTCTTCACAAGGGCAGCTATATATTTGCTTTTTTCCCACAGCAGTCATCTTTTCTCCAAGTATGACCTCTCTTCTGAGGAATACCAGGGTAGAACGTATTTCTGCCTCGCCTAGCAGGTGATGAGGGGCTTCAATTAAAACATGAAATAGATCTGTGAATAACTGAATGTGTAGTGACATTACAACTCAGATTGATTTTAATGTGTACATTTACAATGTGTTTTATAGGTCAATTTCCTTAAATAGTACCAAAGGAAAGAGGATGGAACCAGGAAATACTGCCAAGGAAACAGTCCTCATTACTGGAGGAGGTGGTTATTTTGGCTTCCGGTTAGTGCATTAAATAATTATTACATACAAGAATAAATGTGAAAGATTGCTGCTGGTGAGGCAACAAAATCCATCTGTAAAAGGGAAAACCGTGAGCCTGAGATGCCTGATCCAGTTGACCCCATCCGATGCATCTCAGACCTCAGTATTAAACAAACATGTTACGCTGTTTCCACATGTTTACTGTTGCACATTCCAATATGTTCCACATATTTACTGTTATTCTGTTTCCAAATGTCAAGCATCAACTGACTTGCAGACATTTACCTGTCTGGCCACCTTTGTAATGGGGATTTAGCTCATCATCTTTCAGCCTACTCTGAAGAGCAAGCCTACGCTTGTATGTAGATCTTTCTTTGGACAGTAGGCCATGGCCTACAAATAGTTACACACGTGCTTAGCTATATAGATTAAATACTCAAGCTGCTCTCTGCTCTCAAGAATATACTTATTTTTATGGACAGTGATGTTTTAGGATTAGGTATTTCGGTGAAATCCATTTCCCTTTACTGCAGATGGCTCTGCAGGCTATGTAAAGAAAAAAAGTCCTATTTTGAGCTCTAGACTATCTTCTAGAGTACCTTCAGAGTTATAATTGCTTACAGAGGTGAGAGAGATTACAGTCATGACCAAAAGGTAAATTTCAAATGGCGGTAGGGGGAATCTCAGAAGATACCTATCTGACTTCTGCTTGGCTTTTTCCTCCACTGTCTCCCCCTTTAAGCACAAGTAGAAATACAACAGTTGTAGGAAAGGGGGAGAGGAATACCAGATTTATACTTCGTGCCAATACTTGTGTTTATACCTGTGACTTGGAGTAAGATGTAGACATGTGGCAAAGTTTTCATACCAGCTTAGAAGCATTTCGCTCATTCCTCTTCTCCATAAATTTCAAACACAATGGCAAAGGCCAACCTATTGTTCTGACAGAATTGGGATGGCACAAAAGCAGTAAGATAAAACAAGTAAGTTTTTTTTTGTTTTTGGGGTTTTTTTAATATTTGGCTACAGGTTTACATCTGAAAGGTTTGCTATTGCTGATCTGTGGGGGACAGAAGCAGAGAAATAGCTGGGTTCTTCCAAAAGGCTGCTGAAAGCAGTTCAGTTATTTCTGTTCTGAATTTTCCTTTACAGCATTTCCACCTCTTTTTTTCCTTTTTTTTTTTTTTCCCTCCAAAGTATTGATGGAGCTTGAGAAACTAGCTCAGTACCTAAAGAATTACAGCTGAATCTTCCCCATAGTAGAAGGCGAATATTTAAAAGAGTCCTATCAGAAAAAAAGTGTGTGTGTGGGGGAAAGTCAGTATTAAAATAGTTAATAGTCTTCTCTTACCTCCAGGTGAAGTGTTTCATGCATCATTATGCTATGTATACTAACATATGGTTTCTATCATGTTTTAGTTTAGGTTGTGCCATATACCAAAAGGGAGTGGATGTGATTCTCTTTGATGTTGTGAAGCCACTTCAATCCGTGCCAGAGGGAATAAAGTTCATGCAAGGGGATGTCTGTTCCTTGTCTGAAGTGGAAGAGGCTCTTAGAGATGTAATCTGCGTATTCCATGTCGCTTCCTATGGAATGTCTGGCAGGGAGCAGCTGAACCGAAAACTTATAGAAGATGTGAATGTGAAAGGAACAGAAAATGTCATCCAAGCCTGCAAGAGCACAGGAGTGTCGAGTCTGGTTTATACAAGTACATATAATGTGATATTTGGAGGCCAGATTATAGAAAATGGGGACGAATCTCTGCCTTATCTACCTCTTCACCTTCATCCAGATCACTACTCCCGGACCAAATCTTTAGCTGAAATGAAGGTGCTGGAAGCAAATGGTGCTGAGCTTGGAAATGGGAAAGGTGTATTAAGGACTTGTGCTCTCCGACCAGCAGGTATCTATGGGCCTGGAGAACAAAGACATCTTCCTAGAATAGTTAGTTACATTGAAAGGGGACTGTTTAAATTTGTATATGGAGATCCTCTTAGTTTAGTAGAATTTGTACATGTAGACAATCTAGTTCAGGCTCATATCCTTGCCTCCAAGGCCCTCAAAGCCAACAAAAAGCACATAGCTGCAGGCCAAGCCTATTTTATTTCAGATGGCAGGCCTGTAAATAACTTTGAATTTTTCCGACCATTAGTGGAAGGTTTGGGTTACAAATTCCCAACCTGTCGTCTTCCTCTCTCCCTTGTCTATTCTTTTGCATTCCTTACTGAAGTAGTTCATTTTCTTATAGGTCACATTTATAATTTTCAGCCTCTCCTCACTTGCACAGAGGTTTACAAAACTGGTGTCACGCATTATTTTAGCATGGAGAAGGCTAGAAAGGAGCTGGGGTATGAGCCTCAGCAGTATAGCCTGAATGAAGTGGTTGAGTGGTTTAGAGCTCAGGGATGTGGACCAAAGCCAAGAAAGTATACTGTTATGCATCTTGTTAGGGATGGAGGATTGCTCTTGCTGCTGATTACTGTGATGGTCTCATGGTTTCCATCTGCAGTTACATTTCCACTCTGAAAGGTGAAACACTGAGTACAGAGAACAGAATTTAGTTACATTCTCTGAGTACTCTTGGTTTTGACAGACAGGTAATAAAAAATAAAAAAACACCCAAGAAAATACACATTTGTGTCACTCATGGAAATATCTTCAACTTCATCCCCAAGGAACACAACTGCTGAGTAAAAAGGTGTAATTTTTATACATAGTTCCTCTTCAAAGTAAAATTGATCAGATCACTAACAAGATGAAGCTCAGTATTACTGCAAACAGCATTTTATTTTCGGGTACAACAGCACAGTACAGTGAATGGAACAAATGTCCTTAGATTGACCCTTCTTCCTCCCTGATAGGATTATACTCTTGATCCCTGCCCTTTATTCCCAAAGAGTTTGTGCTACATGATCCAGAGAAGAATAAACTCATTCTTGGATCACATCCCAAAACCAAATTCTGCTTTCCAGCTTGGATGTATATATGCCTAACCAAGATTAACTGATAAACTGCTAGATAATAAATAAATGCTTTTTTTTTAATGAATACATTCTGGTATGCTTTTCTGAGTTAACTCTCTGATATCTAATGATATTTCTGGAAAATGCACAATGGTTAATCTAAGTTATAGCAAAGTGCTTGAAGCAGCACAGATTTGTAGATTTTTCTAACAGTAAAATATGCCTGTTTAAAATGAATGAGCTAGCTAAAGTGCATTCATAAATAAGACCTACAATTTTTCCCAGCATTATTGAATGGTTAAACAAATAATCCATCAAAGACACTTGGTAAGTGATTACATTCATGTTCCACTGTTTATAAAACATTTTTAGCCTTTAAAAATATTTCTTTAACACCTGACACCATTTGAATAGAACTTCACCTTTGTAGTAGGATGATAAGCACTTGATACAATGAAACTCATAATTTTGTGGAGTTTTAAGAATAGAAAATAAGACCTTGTTAAGTACAGGTCACTGCTGTCTCTAGCAACTCCCTCGTCTCTGTCAGTTTAATATAGGAAGAGATAATGAGAAACTTCACATCAATACGTTACATCACAAAGTTGCTCTCCTTTAACCCATCAGCATTACAGTTGCAGTACTTGATAAAAAGACAGTCCTTGAAGAAGTTCACACTTCTCTTTAGACTTTAGTCTTTCCATTTTAATAGCTGAAACTACACTGATCTTAAATTAATTTTGTTGAAGTTCCAGTTACTTCAGTTCTGTTAAACTCTACTGTGATTTAAATGGGGAAGTGAAGAGGAAGAGAGACAGTAGTTCTACTGCATTGTTAAAAGATTCTCAGAAAACAGAAATGCCTAAATAGAGAAACCAAGCTAGAAGTCCACTGCCACCTGTGTTTAGAAGAAGGAGATTTTTGTAGTTAAAGATGACTGAAGACAGCGTTATTTTTTGAATGTTGAGTTCTTTTCCTGAGAAGTTTACCTTTAAAAAAAAAAAACCCACTATTGATAACTACATATTTTGTTTTGCTTGAAATCTGACCTTCCTCCTCCTTCATTCCCCTACCAGTATGTACACCATGAAAGAAACTAAATTTAATACTTAGCTTGAGGGACAGCTCAAGAGATAACTCAATTTTTTTTTTTTTTCCCCCCTATAATAGTAAATAAATTGTGGGGGCCTGGGGCAGCGGTGTTTGTGTAGCAGCAGTGTTGCACTCCTTTATAAAGAGCTTATGTGCCTCCATCAGAGTGCTGATGGCAGAAGGGCCACTCTCCAGAAGTCATTAATATACATCATCGTAGTCTGCAGAAAGAAGAAACCTTTTTAATGAAACAGAAAAAAAAAGACAGTCGTGACCTCATGAAAGCATTGGACTACTGTTCTCTTTCCAACAGGCCCTGTTTTGTCAAGTGAAAACCACTTGGTTATTTTCCCCTTTATGTTCTCTGTTTTTGACACAATGTTATCAGAAATAGATTAAGCAATTTTAATGCCAGCAGAAGCAACAGACAAAAACAACATGTACAAGAAATTGCCCAAGCCTGTTGCACAGAACTGTAGTATCAGTATTTCATACTAAGTCGTGTAAAAAGATCTTTTTAAGATAGAGAACATAACTCCTGTGCCCCAGAGGAATTTCTCCTGCTATTTATGATCTTTTTATTAGCAAAACTCAGCTACTGCCATTCGTAATTATCTCAGCGGTGGGGTTGGTGGAAAAATCTATGAAAGGGTCCTAAACTCATGGAGCCTAAATCCACACTGTTAATGCTGGCTGAGGTTAAAGCCCTGGATAGCTTTTCAGGTTCAACAGAAGAGGAAGCTCCTGAGAAGACAAAAAAACCCCTCAACAAATACCAGAACTCCTGCAGAGCCTGAGCTCAACACATGAACCTTTTCATTTGTCTGGAGTCAAGGACAGAACTTTTCCCCGATAACAGAATAGGAGGCATGATTTTGGCCCAACAGCCCATGACTTCTGCTTGAGCACAGGGTACTAAATCAGGTGCTTGTTAGGAGAAATAAGCAGCGGCTTGGCAATGGCTACCCCAGACCCCATCAACAGTGTACTGCTACATTCATTAATTCCCTGTCATTCAGCTCCATCTAGTAAAAAAAGCAAAGTCCTGACTTCAGAAGAGGTGAAGGATACTTATCCTCTTTCCAAAATGAAAACAGGAAATCTGTGGCTTAAGGAGGTACTTCAAAATTGCTTGAAAATTACATGTATATAAAGTCAGTCACAGCTGCTCCACGTTAAGTATTTTACAATGAGAATTCTCTCTCCTGTTTTTTTATATATTACTACTCTTGCATGAATAGCTGAGTAAATTAAGGTGAATTAATTCAAGTGTTGTGTCTGTTTCCAAATTTTAACCTATTACCTGTTTTCCTGAAAGTGAATTACCAGAAATGCATCTAAAAACTGAAAAAGCAGAGCTGAAAATATAGCACAGCTTCCATTTTTCCTAGTCCTCAAAATTATTTAACAATTGATAGGTGCCTCACTATAGAGAATAATGCTGATGTTTTAAGTGAATAGTTCAAGAATCTTTGGTTAGCTGCTTAACCTCACATACACAGCATGTCAACATAAAACTTTGCTAGATATAAATCAACAACTTATACTTCTAATGTACATTTAAATATATTATTTTAGAAGTTTAAATGTCAATCATCCTTAAAGTAGACCAGATTTTTAGTGCCTTCTCCTAAGAGACCCAACCAAAAGTTTCCTTCATTTCTATTTATTACTAATTTCCACACACTTTCAACAATATAGGGGCATATTTAATAATTTATGATGTGATCTTCAGAGAAAAGTGTCCTGAACACTGATAATTTACACATATTGTAAAAGATCTGGGGATTAAATTGCAATTCAGGAGTACACAAGTGTTAAGGGAACTACTTCTGCTTTATTTTAGTCAGGCTCATGATTCCCTTTTTTGCTGGAGTAACAGCTACCAATCCAGACTAGCAGTGAACAAAACTGCACTTTAAATTCTTTTAAAATTAATAGCTGTGCATGTTTATAAATACTGTTATGGATCAGAAGATAAATTTGGCTCCCAACTGATTCTGAAGGTTAATTATATTTATCTTCTATTTCTAATTATATAAATGGAATTTCAGTCCAGACAAAGTCAACTAGTTGGACTGCTCTTAGAAATGCTGACACACGACTACAGCAGAATTCAACAACTGTACTTAACTTCCATGCCGCATTCAGATTTTTACAACTAGTTTGGAGAATTCAAAGATAATCCCTGGTACACAGCTAACGCCATCTCACCATCTAGAAGGCTAGTTTGAGAACAGCAAAACTAAAAGTTTGCAACAGAGAAGCTTATAGATGCATTGGGGTGGAAAAAAGTGAGACTATAAGCAAATAAAACAGCTGAATGAAGTGATTTTTTGGACTTCAGAACTCATGCATACCAATACTCACAAACTCAAAGGTGATAAAGACCCTTCCGCTCATCTAATGACCTCCTAGAAGATTTAGGCTGCAGAGAGAGTCATAGAATCATCGAATCATTTAGGTTGGAAAAGACCTTTAAGATCATCAAGTCCAACCATTAACCTAACACTACCAAGTCCACCACTAAACAAATTAAGGGCAGAGTAATAATTAATTTCATGTTTCCTGGCTTGGTGGCTGGATTATTTTTTAATGAAAGTAAAACTAGAATAGAATCATTAAGGTTGGAAAGGACCTCTAAGATCATCAGTCCAACTATCAACCCAACACCACCATGCCCAATAAACCATGTCCTGAAGTGCCACGTCTACACATTTTTTGAACACCTCCAGGGATGGGGACCCCAGAACCTCTCTGGGCAGCCTGTTCCAATGGTTGAATGAGATACCTCATCTTGATTCCTGTTCAATATGCATGTAATTTTTATCAAAAGACTGAGAAAAAATTTGTTCCCAAGACTCCCAACAATGAAAAAATAGAAAAAAAAAAATCACAACATAAAGACAGCGTGTGTTCACCCAGCAGCATTTCTGCCCATGCAACCAGATGGGCAGAAAGTGTGCTGATAGAATTTTATGGCGCACATCAGGATTACTGTTCTTCCAAATTACTACAAACTTAATCTTTGCCTTGTTCAGACTTTAATGTTTGAGTTGATCCAAATCTGATGCTCACTAGGGCTGAAGTTTATATCTACCTATCACTGAAAAAGGTCGGTTAGGAGTTGCCAAGTTAAACATGATCTTTGACCTTTTCCTTCTGCCCTGCTTGTTTGCAGCCAGATGAAGTTCAACAATAACCACGTGTATGGAAACAATAAGCCAGTTCATCTTAAAAACACAGAAATGCCCTTCCTCCACCCTCTAGCAGAACACACCATAACACACCAGCAGACCACTTTTCAATAAGAACTCACTCATACTGTCTCAAATGACTGGCAAAATTAATGAAATTCAATGAGCAATGCTTAAAAAAGAAGTATCTGGCATCATTCACATCACTGCTGAGATATCAAAAATTATTTATTAAAAATAAGTTATTTTAAGGATTTAAAAGTTTCTATAAGAATACAACAATTTAACAGACAGTTAACTTCAAAAAATTTATAAATGTTTTTCTCCTAGGTTATAAAATTAGCACACACATTCAACC